AACCAATGTGAGGTACCCTGGAGGTGTATATGTGCAAGTGTGTTACGTTCAGTTATTTTTTGTCTTTTTATTAAGTTTGCTAGCGTTTGATTATTAGTCTTATCATACATGCCTAATTACTAGCAGTCAATATATATTGCAGAATATAAAAGTGCGGGAATTTAAATCTACGCTATTACAATGCTTTGGGGAGAGGGATATTTACATGTCTAAAAATGAGGGGGATAAAGGAGTAAATGTCCTAGTTTTAATCTATTACATCCAGTAAGCAGGTACATTAATAATAAAAATGTGAAATTAAATAAGTGCGCGTGAAATTGAAAATAACGTCTAAAAATATCCTAAGAAATAAAAATATTTTTGTTTTGTTTTTATTTTAAGAAAATATAAACTAAGTCTATTTAGTTTTAATTTCAAGAAAGAGGTTAAAATAATTTATTTATTTATTTACAAAATTAATTTAATTAGAAAAATAACTAGCCTAATATTTTTTTTTGTGATTTTTGATTTAAGGTCAATTTAAATAAAAGAGGGTTAATAAAGAAATGAAAACAAAAATGAAAATAGAACAAAAAGCATTCTTCGATTGCAGGGAGATGGTGTCTTTCGACTCTAAGAAAGGAAAGCTGTCTTTCGATTGCCCTTTGATCCAGAGACATGAAGTGGCTTTCGATCCAGAGGGTGCTGCTAGAATTGCCTGATGGATCACTTTTGAGGGCACTACATCTGAAAACATGTTGGCAAAATGAAAAGCATGGCCTGGGTGCCTAACCTAGGTCTTTTGACTCTGCACGAGTTGGGTCTATTCAGGCTACATCTGCAGCAAATGTTAGCAGCAAAACAAAGGCAGACCTGGGGTCGAACCCATATCTATATTCTTGAACAACAAATAGAATGAAACTACAAATGTTGATGTGTCATGCAAATGTAGAGATTGATCTTTTTACCAATTCTTACCAATGATTGATGGATGAATATGTGATGATAGGTGTGGGTATCCTTGTTTGATGACTGCTTTGATTTTGCTTCTGGATGTGGGTGCCTTTGTTTTAGGGTTCCTTTGATTTGGATTACTTATGAGATTGTTTTTTTAATACTTTGGTTGGTTTATGGGGAAACGTCTCTCCAATGTGTGTGTCACTACATTTGGCTTGCAAGCACTCTGCTTATATAGAGTAGAAGGGAGGGGACAAGAAAACAATAGTTTAAAATGCCATAAACAAATGTTTTCAAGGCCATGAATGAAGTTTTGTAACGTTGCAAAAGTCATGGAAACCTGTCCCTTTTTGAATTTGAATGAACCTGGACATGCTTTGACTCCTTTAAATGCCCTCTAGTGTTGCTCTTCGACTGGCCTCGAGTCTCCTCTTTCGACTGGACCTCTTGTGTAACCTTCGACTGGGCCTTCTGCATGCTTCTTCAAATGTACCTCTTGTGTACCCTTCGACTGGCTCTAGTATTACTTCCTTCGAATGGGTCTTTAGATGGTCCTTTTGGTGTTCCCTTCTAATGGGCCTTTGGTGTGTCCTTCGCATGGGCTAACATGCGTGTTGAAGTGTATACAATTGTTTCAAAATGGGGTCAGCGCTCAGTCGAAACTGGAACCAGGGAATGCTATGCCTTGTGGGTGCTAGCATAAAGCAAGTCAAGGCAGGCGTAGAGGATGCCATTGCCTAGGCGAAGCTGGCACAAAGGTGGCCAGTTCCTTGTGGTCGAAGGCAACTTTTTTTGCTGGCGCATTAAAAGAAGATTTTTGCCTGGTGGATCAAAGGCAACCCTGAAAGAGTCTTGGCCTTGTGTGCTGAAGGCAAGCTGAAGAGGCATACGTGCACTGGTGACACGCTGAGGGGTCTTTTTCCCAGTGGGGCTTTATTGATTGAAGGCCAGTTTGAAGAAGTTATTGCTTTGTGCACTGAAGGCACGCCCAGAGGGATAATTTACCTAGTAGAAGCAGGAAACAAGCTTCCTCTAAGGAAAACAAATGCTCAATCAAAACAAAGATCCAGCTTGTATGCAGGTAGCCATTGCATTTGTGAGTCAAGCCAGCATGCAGAGACAATGGTGCAACCGAAGGAGCACTGATAAGAAGCCATTCCCCCTTGGATCGAAGGAGGCTGTTTTAAAGGGAAAACATGCCCAGTCGAAGTTGGTGTGCAGCAAACAAGCAATAGTCCAAGGCTTCAATCGAAGCTTGGAAAATTGAGGCAAGCTTGAAGGAGGTTAGGTGCCCAATCAAAGCTTATCAAAATACCAATTGAAAGACCTTGTTTATTTTCAAAAATTTTAAATCTTGGAAAACATTAGAGGGAAAATTTTGGGGTACAACAACTGTTTTTATTTATTTTTCTTTGTACTTTCTTCATTTTTACGATGATTTCCTCTTACTAGGATCTTTGTCTCCTTGTACGAAACTGCCTATTTATAGGCAAACTCTTAATACAAATATATTTCAAAATTCAAATTTGTTTCACTTTCTCTGTTTTGTTTGCAAAAACATCCAATAACTAAATTGAGTGAGCATATGCATATGAATATGATTAATGTTAACAAATATGTGAATGTAAATAGGGTTAGCATTTACTAAAGACTCTAGGAGTTGGGACAACGTTTAATTCGTCCACAAATCCCCACAGGGAAATCCCCGCAGAGCTACCTTTACAAGCTCATCCTCGACAGAGATATATTCCCCAGCGAGTCTAATATACCTTCAGACAGAAATTGAGGCATCTTCCAGCGGTTTACATGATCATCTCCCCTAGTAGGTCCCCTAGTGTTGTACCCCAATTTTTGACCTAAGATCCCATTTTTATTTTAAATCAAGGTCACGAAATACGGTCGGTTTTAACGTCTCACCTTCGAGCTTCGACTATGCGAAGATTGTCAAGTGTTTTAAACATTCTTAGCCTATGTATCATTAACTTCTACTCCAGCATGTGTATTTCTCGTTTCTTTGTTTTCATTTGCAGGAAACATATCTGAATCAAGAGCATCAGGCGTCACGCCTCAATTAGGGTTCAGAATCTCTCAAGCCAGAAGTACAGTTAATCGTTGGTTCGTGAAGACTGATTCATCAGGAGAATCGTGCGTTTATTTCCATGCCTTGTTCGACAAGTGGTCTCAAGCTTCTCTACAACTCTCTCAGAGTGTAGACAAGATTTCATCATCACTGGTTCACATGTGCATCAAGATGCTTTGGAATGCAAAGAAAGATCAAGTTTGCAAGTCAATTCAAAGCACTTTGACCAAAAGTCAATACTTACACATCCAAGTTCAAACGATCGTAACTTTTTCATTATTCAACATGTTTGAATGGTTACTTTTGCGTATAGTTCTCTTTGACGTCATCTCTAACCCCTCTTTACCAGTCAAGGTCTGATTATGTGCGGAGGATCATCAAAAGTTCGGATACTTTAGAGGTCACTTTGATGACTTTGGCCTAATCTCGGGTAACAATTACTCGACTTTCAAGGATCGTAACTATTTCGATTTTCATCATTTCGGGATGGTTCTTTTTGCAACATATCACAAATGATGTCGTCTACAAGATTTCTTCAAGGATCGACATCCAAATGCGTTCAGAAGGCCATGAAATTCGTTTGAACATTTTAGACTTGGAATTGATTTTGTGTTGAGATTGTTCTCCACTAAGTCAAGGGTAAAGGCAAGATGTTGAGTTTGAGGATTCATTGATTATATATTGCTATAATACAAGTTGCTTGTATTCGAGCGTTAGTAATTAGTGAATTAAAATTGGATATAGATCAAGTTTCTTTGTTTGTTCATCAAGATTCGGTTCATGATAAAAGGTTTCGGTATTTTATTTGGAATGCATTTCAAGGTAAAAAAAACCATTCAAGGAATCCAAGTTCATTCAATTTTAAATTCAAGAGGTTATGAAAGACATTCAAGTCTTATTTGACTAAAATGTTATTCAATAATTATTTCAAGTCCAGACTTTATTCAAAGTTCAATTTCAATTCAAGTCTCATTTAATCATATTCAAATTCAAATTGTGCAAGATTCTTTCAAGGTTCTTTTCAAAAGTGATGCTCTGTATTAATTCAAGATTCATAATTTCAAATGCACCTTGCAAGTCGACATTCATTCAAGAGTTTTTATGGACATATCATGTTCAGCAAGAATCACTACAAACTCATTCAAGTTCAAAAGTCAAGAATGAATGTCACCTTAGCATACAAAGTTTCATCAAGATGCCATGGTTCATCACCATGTTACAAAACAATCACGAAAATACATGGAAATCCTTAAGGTTTTTCTTCTTTCTAATCTTCAAATTCCACATTTAAACTCTGCATATCAGTCCAAACCTTGCTTCAAAATCATCCATACTGTATGCTGCTCCAAACTCTGCATATCAGTCCAAAAACAAGTCAAAAATTCTGCACAAATAATGCCAAAAAGCTCCTGTCAAACCTGTCCAAAAACAGTCTAAACTTTCACAAAAATAGGAAATGCAAATCCTGCATCAAAAAGGAAAACTCAGCATATCACATTTTGTCCAAGACTCACAAATTTTCCCTCCAAAAAAATTCATTCGGAAGGGGGGAAAACAAAGTAAAAAACCTGTAGAAATTTCTAATAACCTTCCTCCAAGTTGAGAACAAGCTTCAGTAACATCACTTCAACATATTCTCATCCAAGTAGACCTGAAAATTCATATCCAACACCAACAACAATACCTGTAAACCAGAAGAAAAGAGAGGAAAAAGAATCGTAAAAAAACTCTGTAGAAATTTATATTGGTCTTTCTCCACCATCCATATCACCCTCACAATCCAACTATTACACACATATTCCTTCCACCTTTTGATTTTCCTCTCGATTCTTCAAATTTCCCCACTGCCGTTTCTCACGGCCTTTGGCTCAACATACCTGATTATGATGCTCCAACACAGCTTATCAAGACCCATGAGAGGAACACTAGGTTTGTTGACGCTGTTATGACCATTCCCAAAGGAACTCTTTTTCCCATGTGAGGTATGAATCTGGCATTCAACCGGGAACTGATTGGACCTGCAATGTACTTTGGACTTATGGGCGATGGTCAGCCTATTGGACGTTATGACGATATGTGGGCTGGCTGGTGCATAAAGGTTATCTGCGACCACTTGGGATATGGAGTGAAAACTGGACTGCCATACATATGGCACAGCAAAGCAAGCAACCCATTTGTTAATCTGAAAAAGGAGTACAAAGGTATCTTCTGGCAAGAAGAGATCATTCCATTTTTCCAAGCTGCAACCCTTTCAAAAGATTGCACCTCTGTTCAGAAATGCTACATTGAACTCTCCAAGCAAGTCAAGGAGAAACTTGGAACTATTGATCCCTATTTCGTCAAACTTGCTGACGCCATGGTCACTTGGGTTGAAGCTTGGGATGAGATTAATAACACCGTCTCTGAAGAGACAACTTCAACCAAAGCTTCTGAGCTTGCTGCTACCAAGTGAAACAACTTATAGTTGATGAGGAAAAGAGCACTTCAGAAATAGATGCTATGAAGATTATGCAGAAGGATAAGACTATGGAGAAAACCATGCTGAATAACATACCTCAATAATCTTCGGAGAAAATCACCTATGAAATGGAAGACACTCCCTCTCTCTCCACGCATAACCCTCTTCCCCAGATGTACCTTTTGCTCATTTTCTAACTTCTTCCTCAAATCTCAAAAATGCTGCCAAGGGTAACTACATCACTGCAAATGATCTTCAAACAACATATTCCCTCTACCCTGGAAGTCCTGCCAGTAGCCTTATATCTCCAATATCAAAAATTCTGGTGACTGTCTATCGACATCATTTCCTGAACGCGAGTTTCGCCCACAGTGGGATTCATCAATGTATCCTGAAAAAATGGAAAATATCAGAGGACTGGGTTTGGGAGGGTGTCTGCTCGTGCCACAAATGATGCCTCTATGGCATCCCAAGATACAAATTTCTTTTGCCCTGCTACCTATGCACAGTTCTATTTAGACCAAAATCCTCCATTTTCTCATAATGGCGGGAGATTAAGTGTTTCAAAAGATTCTGATGCTCAATCTACAGGTGGAAATGGACATCAGAGTAGGCCTTATAGGAGTCCTAAGCAAGATGTGGAAGAAATAGAAGCTTACCGGGCATCATTTGGTTTCAATGCAGATGAGATTATATCCACCAGTCAATAGGTAGAGATTTCTGATGTGATGGATGACTCATTTACCATGATGCCTTTGACCGCTGGCAAATCAATGATGGAACAAAACATAGAGCCTTCATTGATGAAAGGGTTAAAAGCTCAGGAGACACGGTTGGGTTTGCATAATCTAAAGTGACTTAGATTAGACCCCAATCTAGTTGGCAAGCAAGCAAGAAATCAGTCCATAAACCTGTTGTTTCCAGAACTTCTAGTATTGCTAAGACTCCAAATCCAAAGTTCACTTCATCAAAAGTTTCTGGCACCCACAGGAAATCAATTGAACCCTCAAACAATCGCAAGGTGGTAAAGCAAACTCTTCCTGTTTCACAAAGCATCTCAAAATCTTCTCATACAAATCGCAGAGCATCATTTCCATTGTCAACAAGGAGTGGTATTCATGAGCCTCCTTGCAGGCCGAGTGTTGGTTCGCTTAGCCACGTGTCTTCACCAGATATCTCAGTCAACTCTCCCCGAATCGATAGGATAGCTGAATTCCCATTAGCATCATATGAAGATTATTTATACCCACTCAGCCTCGATCAAACCTTCTCCGACGCCCTCAACCACACCACGGCTGACATGTAAACGCCACCACCACAGAAGAGCTCCGATGCAGATGCCTAAACTTCGTATTCTGATGCTGCCGCCTCCGATCTGACACTTCATCAAACCTGCATCATCTTTAACACTACTGTAAACTGCTGGCATCGATTTATCAATCCGCATCCATCAAAACAATAACAGAAACACACACGCGAAGAATCAATAGAGACAAATCGTAAAAATCTGAAGAGGAAGTAATTTTGAAGAAGAAGTGGAAGCGAGTTTACCTCTGATTTTGCAATCATCTTTATTAATTTGAAGAAGGCACCAGACTTTCCTCCGGTAGGTAAGTATACTTCACGCTCTCCTTAGATAATTTGACTGTCTTGCTCGAATTGATTGTGTCAAATATTTTCATCACTGCGTAATCTGAGTTGAAATGTTGAAACGAATCCACGGTGCACGATACTGAGAGCGAAGGATCGGAGTTGAAGCTGATACGAATCTGTTGAATGGAACTGAAAGAGCGAGAAGATTCACGTGCAAACCCAGCAAAGAGGCGAGAAATAGAAGACAACTCAAAGAGACTTGGTGGGTTGTTTGCAAAGTTGAACAGTGGGGATATCTCCAAAAATGCTTCTGATAAGCTCCTTCAGCTTTGTCAAGCATTAGACAATGGTAATTTTGGTACCGCCCTTCAAATTCCGGTTCTTCTCACTACTACTGAATGGGATGAATGCCAGTCCTGGTTAGATCTCTCTGTTTCCCTTTAATTTCCAGCCTAGCGAAATTCTGCATATACCCCCCTATATTAGCTTTACACCCTTTGTTTTAATTTGTTTAGTTTAATATTAATCTTCTCAACTTTATTTTTTAATTAATTAGTTTAATTTTGTTCTTTTAATTTTCTTAACTTTATAATTTTCAATTAATAAGTTTAGCCTTAGAATAAGTTAGTAACTTTGGAATTTATTTTAATATTTGTTTTAGTTTGACTAACATTTGTATTTAATTTTCTTAGTTAGATTTTTTTATTTCATGCATGATTCTTCTTTGTCTCTTTAATTAAACTCTCGTTGTCTTTTGTCATTAATTGCTTGCTTAGATTTCTTTCTTGTAGATCTTTGAGTGCTTATGCTTTGGTATTCATTTTACTGTTTCTTGCTTGCTTAAACTCCAAGGGAAAGAATTAAATTTGTTGACTTCATGTCATCGAACATATCTCATACGATTACGCGAACCCCTTCATTCATTTTTTTTTGCTTGTTTACTATTTTGCTAAACTCAAGATAATTTTCCAAAAGACTCCATTTTCAAACCTACCTTTTAAGTCAAAACTTCGACACTAGGTCGTCGCATCTTCAAAATCTCGTCCATACCCATCTTTAGCCAAACGAATCATTTTAATCAAACAAACAATTTTAACCAAAAACAGATATTTCAAAAGGTTCCTGCGAAGTACCGCAGATGCATTGGGTGCTGATACCTTCCCATTGTATAACCAACCCCCGAACTCTCGGTCTCTTTCAAAAACGCTTTGTATTTTTATTACTTTTAAGTCTTATTTTACATTGCATATTTTAGGGTTTTATTTCGCTCTTTTCCCTTTTCCCTTGGAAATAATAAAGCGCGGTGGCGACTCTTGCTTTTGTGAGTCAAGTTAATTAATAGCTTGATCTCCGATTTTCACCGCTACAGAATTGGCGACTCTGCTGGGGAAAGATTGACCTCTTGCTGGTCCATCCCTAAGTGGGTTAAGCCTAATTTGTCATATTTGTTTTTGTTATTATTACTTGTTCGTTTGATTAATTGTGATATATTATGGTTATTTGGGTTTTTGCAAAGGACAAGTCCTATACACGGACTAAGTTACACTTAGGAATAGGACGGGCGGTATAGTCATGTTAACTTTGAGGGAGTAATCCCGAAGAAGGAGGCATGAAATCCCCCACTCAGTGGAAGGCCCTTTTGAATGTAATATTTGTTTACTGAGTAATCGGGAAGACATTATTATTTTCGACCTGGGAGCCAGAGAAGCTGGGAACCGTAGAACCCTAACCCATCTTGGCCTTTTAGGTGTAGCGCGGAGATTATAACGGAGTAATCCGGAAGTAATTGTTACGTGATGCTACGCTCGGATGAGTTTCTCTTGAGAATATTGCTGATTATTGAGTAATCAAGACGTTGGTAATATCCGAAGGAGGAATGTAGACTCCAGGAACTCTTAGAACCTTGTTCTACAGGTGTGATTAAACCGTTAGTACATACCTTGGGGGTGTTCCTTACCTTGACTCCATGCTCGTGACGTTGAACCTTTCGACTTTATTTGTGACCTTGCTTGTGGTTGTTGCATAGCCATGCATTCATGCATCCATAAAACCCTTTTCACTTGACTTTGAAGGAATTTGGAGGTCTTTCTTTGTAAACATCACAAGTTTCGTCAAGCTCAATGGATCTTGGGTGTTGATAAGGCGAAAACCCTAATCCACCAAAATGGATGATTGATCTTGATGATAACTTGATCAATGTTTGGAGCCAATTTAAAATTCATCTTCTATCTTCATACTTTGACGTTTACAACTTAATATCTTGAGTTCCTTGAAAATCAAATAAAAACTCTCTTTTGCATATCATACATCATTCTACATTTTTTGTTTCACTTTCAAGGGTCATTTCCGAGTCTTAATTTTTTCCTTTGGTCTCACCAGTACAACACTCGCGCTAAGAGGACAATGGAGAATATCAAGCAAGAGGTTTCTGAACTCCGTAGAGAGATGACTATTTTGAAAGCTGGTATGGATCACTCGACTGTTTTGGGTTGAAATTTTGGTTACCGCCCAAGTCAATCCTTCTAGGAGGGAGGAAGCGATGATAAAAGTATTCACTGAAACTCTAAAATCATTCTCTCATGAGAAGGTGATGGTTAATTCACCTAATGACTTTCCTGACAAGGTGAATGTGGGAGTGCGTCTAGAAGAAGATGTCAGAAAGGGATGTTCATATGAAGATGGTAGCTCAGCTAATGGTGTGAAGAAGTTTGATAATAACTTTTCCAAGAAGAGAACCAGAGGAAGAAATAATCATTGTCAGAATCATCATGTTTCTCCTATTCATCACAGGAATCGGCAAGTTCCTAATCAGAGGAAAACCCAGTTTGATCCAATTCCAATTACCTATACAGAGTGGTTCCTTATCCTGATGCAGAGGAATTTGGTTCGACCCGACCTCCACCGAAGGTTCCTGAGAAGATACATTGGTACTACAAAGCTGATTTGACTTGTACCTTTCATCAAGGTGTTCCTGGGCATGACTTGGAGGGTTGCTTTGCTTTGAAGATCGAGGTTCAGAAGTTGGTCAGAAGTGGTATCTTGTCATTCAAGGACGTTGGTTTTGAAGTTCAAATCAAGCATGCGCCGAAGAGTAAACACGATTGATGGTGACTTTGATTTTTGAAGGTTGTTTTCGGTAATTCAAGTCCAGATGGAAAGCCTTCCTAGATTATTAACTTATTCTTGCTTTTTGTAATTTTTCTTGTTTATCAAAACATTGTTTGCATGTAAGAACTTGTTTGCCTCTGAATGATTATCTTAATACAATGGGTATGTTTGTCTTGAAGAAATTCATTCGTTTCACTCATATTTATTTTCAAATTTTAAATTCCTTTTTGCATTATGATACCAACTTGTTGCCCATTCTCTTGCCTAGGCAGAGATTGAAGGGAGGATGATGATCTAAAGAACACAAAATCTCTGGTTGTTTGCTTTTGGATAAAATCTTGCTGATGATGTACAGGCATTGTTTCAAATTCCTAAACACCGGAGATATGAGGAAGATAATCCCTTGCTAACCCCTTTTGAGCCTTTGAAGCAGAAGTTTCTTTTCTATACGAAAATACCTTGAATTTTAACCTGGGGCAGGGTAGTTTTTGGTTAATCTGACTGAGTGTTCGAAATTCATAAGGAAGATGTTTTTTGAAGAGAAACTACGAGGGCTATCCTTCATGTATAATGAATATAGAGGATGTGGAACCACAATGTTATCCCTCATTCATCAAGAAATGAGGCAATCATAATCCTCTCAACAAGCAAAGACAAGCTAATGTCACACATTTTGTTCAAAAAGTCAAAAATCGAGAAAAAGAAAAAGCCTGCTAAGTCAAAAAACATGAAAACGTGTGACTTAGGCAAAATTAAGGCATCCCACTGGACTATCAATTCAAAAGAATTAGTTCAGGCAAAAGTTAGGGAAAATAAAAATTGCAAAGAAAAGGACTGCAAAGAAAAGTCCTCAGCAAAGAACAAATTGGTGACTACAAACACGAAGACATGAGGTTGGTTTCTACTCCGAAAGCCTCGTCGTTTACTTGACCGTCACAAAATCCTTTTGAGAGATGAACGCTCATGTTGAATTAACTGAACATAGGGTCGGAGAACATCATGAAGAATGGGTGGGCACCAAATATTTTGAGCCTTAAAATCTTTTTTCTAAAAACCATGAACCAGACCACGTTACAACCTTCAAAAGTCCTAATTGAAGCAAGGTTATTTTCAAAGCATACTTCAATGAGATAGTGTTCCTGACTCCCATGAATGTTCTAAATAGTTATGTTGGTATCATATGTTTTTTCCTATACAAAAATAAATGGTGCTTTAACTCACAAAATTTGTGTGATATCTTTCAAAATCTTCAAGACTTACATAATTGTTGCATTAGAATTTTCATTCTCATTGTAAACTTTTTTCTAACTACAAAACATTTGTTTGATATCAAGGAGGCTCACATAAGCACCAGTGATGAGTTTATTCTTTTAAGGCCTGAAACTATGTTGAGTAATTGGCGGATCACGTCAAGAAAAATCATATCCATGGGCATGTCACCTAAAGACCGTAAACACGAACATGTTGCTTCTCCCAGTTAATGCTTTTCCCAACTTGTTTGCTCGTTTGGGGCAAAAATTCGAAGACTTTGTTGTGCCGACTACAGTAAATCCGGGGCAATCACGTAAAGATTTGATGAATCTCTCTAAGAGTTTGAAGACACCAGAGCATGGTGAATGCCAGGTCTTTTGTAAAATCCTCTTGAGACGATTTCTCCTCATCAACCATATAGCTCGGGGCATTTTAGAGGTAAAGTTATTCACAAGAATTGTCGTGCATCACGCAGCTTATCAGCAGTAAACTTGG